TCGTAAGTTAAGCATTTATAACCTAAGCTGTGAAGAATACACGGGCATGATAAAACAATAAAACCTGTTAATGTATTTGGTCGTAAGTTAAGCATTTATAACCTAAGCTGTGAAGAATACACGGGCATGATAAAACAATAAAACCTGTTAATGTATTTGGTCGTAAGTTAAGCATTTATAATCTAAGCTGTGAAGAATACACGGGCCTGATAAAACACTGTAGAATGGTTACTTTTCGTGACAAGTAAGGTCTGCTACTTGAATAACAGGAAACTATCCACGTATAGAAACGTGATCCAAATCATGCAAACACACAAAAAAGCACGCTAAAATTATTAACACAAATCCGAATATTTTAAAGTGGCATAATGGTGTGAAAACAAATATTTTTGTTCAACACACAAGACCAAAAGTTACTACACACTCTTCGTTATCATCTTGCCTTTCACAATAGAACATGTAGGCCTTTTTCTTCTTATTCTGAGACACACAATTCACCTCAAAAAACAAAACAACTACTAACATATAGCATATGATTATCAACTTGGAAGTGATTTAATGTAAAAATTTTCAATTATTTAAACGATTAATCCTATCCAACTTTACATTGGTTATTTCTTACGAATGAGTATTTTATCTGGTTTCTCTTATTCTACTCTTTCTTGCGCACACACATTATTATCATTACGACATTACAAATTGAAAAAACAAAAGCCAAATCATCATTACTTAGAAAGTATATTCGTAACAACCAAAGCTGCTCATCCTATGATGACAAACAGCTAGGCAATACTCTCCACTCCTTTACCCTCCAGCTTCCGAGCGAAGTCGGCAATCAGATCCCTGTAGTTCAGACCGTCCACGTTCTTACAGAGGAGATCCAAGAGGAACCAGTCACCTAGATGACATCTTTTTACGACCATTTCCAGGTAATCTGCATTGGTCAAGCGAGCGCGATATCTCAGGATCAACAGGCGGGATCGAGGCCAAAACACGATGACCACTCTATATACGAGTACCATCCCGGAAACTACGGCCAAAGTGACGAACCAGATCCACAAGAATACGTAGATCTTTTCGTTGATTATATTAATGGGCAGGATGCACATGGCGTCGTGTCGCTGGACATCACCCGAGGAACCGTATTTATGGAAGGTACACTTGGTTAAACGAGGGAATACTCTGATCATGGGGTCATAGCGGAGGGTCCAGTCCCACTCGGTGAACTGCATGACCTTGGAGCCATATTTAGAGAAATGACCACCTAGGAATGAGTCCATTAGATACATCTGTCCAACCACGTTTACAAAGTTCAAAACCTCACAGAAAAAATAGCCAATGACGTAGAAGTTGTGGTTGTGTATGTTGTTCATTAGATATTCAACCAAAATACCTCGCTTTTCTTGTTTTTTGTCAGGTGTTAAGGTCGGATTGTTGAGCTCGAGCATCAGAGCTCGAATACGGCCTTTCTCCCATCCCTTCCACAGGTAACGTGGAAAATAAAACATAATGGCTTGGAAAAACAACACAAAACAGACCCACTGGTAGTAAGCGTGGTATATTCTGTCTTCACCTGGAGTATACTTATCCACCCCTGGATACGGGATTTCCACACCAACCTTCTTATGCCAAGCGCCTTCTACACTGAAGGTGGTGTGGATCCAGCAGAAGGTGTCTAACACCCTTGTCGGAATATCATCTCGAGAGATGCAGTCGATGGGGTCACCGATGTACTGTCGAGAAGTCACGAGCAGACTAAAGGCCAAGAGAACGACCACTGTGGCTTTGTAATGGAGTCGAAACACATTATTATCAATAACAACTGAGTGGATTTTAAATAACCCTTTTAGTGAGCCGAATATTTTATCCATCGTGGTTAAGAGTTACAGGAAAGCGTCAAAACTGCTTACTGCATATATAGAATTGTAAGCTTTTTAACCTGAGTATATATATATATATATATATCTCCCAGAAGGCCTTGTTCACCGTGGAGGAGAGACAGGCATTACAATGAGTGGTGTTTCTAGAACACAGACCAGACGAATAACCTTGTTCACAGCGCGCGTCACACTAGCCAGCCAATCAGAGCAGCGCGTCACCCTTAACAGCGCGAGGGCTACAACTGATGAATAGCTGCTACAAGTTTAATATTCTCCTACAGCTTTACGATGGGTAATAATACAAAAGCTAATCATGAGTTAAACTCTCTACTGAAACTCACGAATATAACAAATAAAATTTCCGCGAGCGGGGCGAAGGGGGATAACAATATCCCCCTGACTACTCCAGTTGAGGAAAGTCCCTTTCCATTAAAAAGTTCCTGTCCCAAAAAACTCTCCGCCGACAAGTATTTCAAACTAAACCGTACAAACAAGTAGCTTAGATCCAAGTTTATACGTTTAACTGTTATCCAAAAAGTAACTTAGATCCAAGTGTATACGTTTAACTGTTATCCAAAAAGTAACTTAGATCCAAGTTTATACGTTTAACTGTTATCCAAAAAGTAACTTAGATCCAAGTTTATACGTTTAACTGTTATCCAACTTAAGTAACTTAATGT